CCAACCTCTCTACAGTGTCCTTTCAAGTAGTTGTAGAGAGTGATGAGGTCTCCCCTCAGCCTCCTCTTCCTCATACTAAACAGTCCCAACTCCCTCAGCCGCTCCTCATACGATTTGTTTTCCAGCCCCCTCACCAGCTTCGTTGCCCTCCTCTGCACTCGCTCCAGCACCTCAATATCTCTCTTGTATTGAGGTGCCCAAAACTGGACACAACACTCGAGGTGTGGCCTCACCAGTGCTCTCACACAGCTAGTTCACTCAATAAAGGAGAAACCTAAAGCAAAGCTGAACACCCAGCGACAGGCTCTTTGTACGTATGGAACGTGAGCTGTTTCTAGAGATGGTCAGCAATACACAGCTAGTTCACTCAATAAAGGAGAAACCTAAAGCAAAGCTGAACACCCAGCGACAGGCTCTTTGTACGTATGGAACGTGAGCTGTTTCTAGAGATGGTCAGCAATCTCACCGACCAAACACTGGCTTCTACTTGCTGTAGCTCTCTACAACTCCAAACCGAAATGCATAAACCAAAATATACTAGACTAAGATTCGTCTTCTGTTACTTTCACTTTCCCACGTGGGACATCAAAAGAACTTTTAGTGAATTTGAAATACCAGAATACCTTCTTCTTTGTAACTTCTTTGTACTACCAGGCAGTAATTTCTTCAGCAGTGTGTGTAAGCCCATCTACTCCAAGGCTGTATTTTACCCTCAGCAGAAAAGCAGCTAGGCCTCAATTGCATACACTTATTCTAGCAATTTTTCATTGTTACTTGTATTTTTTTGAGACAGGAAAAAAAAGTTTTAAAACTGAAATGAATTTTCTCCATATACTTTTATACTGTACGGGTACTAAGAAAAAAAAGAAGTACCTTGCAGTCAGTGATAAGGCAATACTGTAATACTCCTGATGTATGAAATTCTAAGGCCCGTTCTCAGTTTCATACCTTGAGAATATTCTAGCACAGAATTCATAGATTCAGAGTTCTTCAAACCATGAATTCCACTGACTGACCAGTGAGGAAAACTAGGTATGCTCTCCAAATGACATCTGTTCCTGAATGAAGCAACAGAGGTCACCCCCTCCATCTACGCTGGAGACCAAAGCAGACTTACTTTGAAGTCTCCTTGCTATTCCTATTCTCAAAAATTGGTATTAAGATGGCATAAATACACCTCTAGAGAAACTTATTTGTAGAAAGGTAGATGTTGAAACACAAGGCCAAGCAAATAAGCCTTAATACTTAAACAGGTAAATAGAACCAAATAGATTTGCAATTAGGAGAAGGCTAACTCTCTTAACCGAGAACTTAAATTCATTTCTTTATGCATATTCATGATATAGATTTAAATTAACAATAAATTACATATCTTTCAAAAGATCATGTAACGTCTTTTTTTGTTATACATCTGCTTAGTTATTTTCTCACCATTTAACTTAGTTTAGTTGGGTTCTATAGTGTAACACATGCTTAAAATTGATTCTCCTTCTTAGAGGCTACATAAATAACTTTCGTCAAATACAACTGCTTAGGATTAATACTGTGAAATAAGTGGAAACAGAACTCAGCATTTCCTGCTTCTTTCAGGCCAGCACATTATAAAGAGGGAAAAACAGAGAACTTATGTTTAATGTGCTTTTGTAGCACATTAAACTTAAAGAAATTACATGAATATGTGCTAATTGGACACTTAATTCTGTCCTAGGTTTTATAAAGTTGAAAAATTAAACAAGCCACAGATATTAATTTGCTTTGTTCCTAAAAAGTAAAATAATACAAGCCTGTCAAGGAATTATTTTACAAAAAGCTTATCTGTGTTTCCTTACTTCACATCATGTGCATCTACCACATGGACATCAGGAACATCTTTAATACATCAGTCTTATCTGTGGTACATCTACATCTAATGCATTTCTACAAGTATTACATTTCTGCACCTGTAGAAACTAGAGTCTTGAAAATGGAATTTCAAATACAGAGGAATGACCAATAAGAATATTAAGAAAATAGAAAAAGTAACACATTTTCATTAATGATAAAAGAAATTAAACATATTTCTGCTGCATGCCTTCAAGATTTGCTCTGTTAACAATCCTAAGACTGTTGGTTTTAGAAATAATCTCACCTGCAAAAAAACTCCCACAAGTCTAGATTTTGTATTCTCTTAATTCTTTTAATTCGGTGGCTATCCATTGTTTTTCCAAAGAGACTAGAAACTTCATTATATTCATTTGTTTTCTTTTGCAATGGAATAAGCTGGAAGAAAAGAGGTTAGTAGGATTTCAATTCAATGCATTATTTCATTATCATGTGTTTTTTGACCAACTTGCACACTGACTCTTACCTGATATGGCTCCTCATTATTTACATTCTCCCAGTGTGAAGGCACAGGGATAGCCTCATTTTCACAGATGAAACTTCAAACGAACAAACAAAAAAAAGGTAAAACACATCACATCAAAGACATGTGGCACTTTCTTCCTGTCAAACTCCTGCTCTGAACAATACAGTATGCAAAAAACCACAACTTATACAAAACTACTTAGGGTTTTAATTCAAACAAAGGCTGGTGTCAGCAGGTAAGGTCAAAAGCAAGAGCTGTTATTTTGTATTCAAATTCTAACTTAGCTTATTATAAATAAACTACAGTAATGAACAGTTCTAATACACCATCTCCCCAAAAAACAGATAGGAAGATAAATCAGAAGAGATGGTCAGAAAGGTCCACAACATAAGGAGAGGAACAATAATGTAAAAATGTGAGAGCGTAGATACAGCCTGAGCATTCCAAACTATGAGGAATTAAAACTACCTTATGTGCCTGGAGACTAAGGACTCATTTGAAGTATTTAAAAGCATCACGTTAGAAATACACACTTGAAAATCATAGCTGAATTTGTTTTTTAATAAAACAAACCTGCAAAAAATGTTTTAAGCATATATCCCACACGCATAGCAGCTTTCAAGCCTAAAAACCATGACTAAAAGAAGCAATCTCCTGAAAATAAAGAATGGTGTCATCACATGGAAAGACAGTACTGAATGCAGTTATTCAAGACACAAAAAACCAAAAATGAATTGCCATGTTATTGCACGCACTCTTCAGTAAATATCCATCCCAAAAAAAGCTGATGGTTCAAAAAAAACCCCAACAGTGCTCCTTGAACATCAGTGTGAAAAGACTGCTACTACATTTCTTATTACAAATGCCAAATTTATTTTTGAAAGTATAATCAAACTACAATTCAGAACTAAAATTACTTCTAAGAAGCTATTTGGGGAAAAAACCTCACATATAGTCAACTTTACCTGTGTAAGTACCACTGCATAGGTCAGCTTATTGTTTACTGAATCTCAGATTAACGTCAGCACAGCTTTACATCGAATGACTGATCCAATGGCAAGAAACTTACAATCTAAAGCAATTAGAGTCATAAAGCAATCTGCAATGTTTTGATGCAATTTCTCGTAATTTCAAATCATTTTAGAGTAAATTATTAAAACACACAAGCAAGGAAACGTAACTCAATCGGTTTTGCTGTTATGATAATACTTCTAAAATTATGAAGTCATTATTAAAATGGAACAAACTACCCCATTGTGCTTCTCCACAGCAATTCTGATTCAACAAGGATTTACAGCAAGGGACTCCAATGGGTAAAGTCAGGCACAGGTTTAGGAACCCTGCCAAAGGACATCAGTAATCAGGATGCCTTGCCCCTCCCACTACAAGTTCCTTACTTTCTCAAACAAAAAATCCTTTCATCACTCATCCCCTCTGAACTGTCTTCCTTTTCACTCGACTAGTTGCCCTACCGTGATTTACCACTCAAATTGTTTGATGCAAAAAGAAAATAAATATAAACAATAAAAATAAAACATTTTTTTCGGTTTCTTTTTACTTAGAAGAAATCGGAAATAAAATAGTTTGATGCAAAAACTTTTTACTTAGAAGAAATCGGAAATAAAATAAAATTTAAAAAAAAAAAAAAAAGAGTCTTCCTTTCATTTCCTTACCTGAAAGCACTGATAGAAAAGGGAGCTCGCTTTATTGGACGTTGCTTAAGGGTAGTTAGGTTGGTTTGTTTCATCGCTGAGCATAAAACAAGAGTTAGGATGAAAGTTTCAGGAATTCATCTATAGTATATGAAACATTTAAGTGTCATTTTTAAAAATAACATTACTACACTTAAAGTTGCCTGACAGGAATTCCTATTTCAACAATTAACAAATCAGCATTTCCAATAACTGTTTCTAAATCCTGGCCTCGAAATCATTGTCATTTCTGCAAGTTGGCAAAAGGCACAAATATTACAGAAACAAAACGTTTATCGTTAAAATACCCATCTAACATTCAACCCCACTACATCACTGGCAAAACTTCCGCTGCCTTTAATGCAACTAGGATAACAAAGCACATTACTGCTATCCTTAATGCAAGACATCATGCCAGTAGCACAAAAATAGTTGTTTAGTGTTTGCATTTAGTTATTTAGCATTATATTCTGGATGCAAACCAAAGATTTTTTTTTAAACAGACATTTCAACACAAGTAAACATAAAAGTCCTTGTATTGTCACATACTGCTTTAGTCCCAGTACATGGCTGTTTTACTCAGTCCCTACTTTTTGTAAAAATAAAATAAAATAAAATAAAAATAAAAAAAATAAAAATAATAAAAAAAAAACCCCAGTCATAATTCTTTTGCCTATCTCCTTGTTATTCAGACAACAGAGTTGGCTTCAACTACCCGCTGAATTATAAAATCACTTTAATGCCAGTATTTTGCAGAAAACTTCCTTCATATCGATGTTTCTTACACAGACTCCGAAGGAAAGAGTTTTTCAAGCTTACAAGCAGTTGCACATCAAAGAAAAAAGGTTCAAACTTCCAAGTCCCATAGATGTATGCTCCACACCACTTAGAGCTGAGGTACGTGGCAGTAACATGGTGGACTGCTTCTAAACAAGACATGCTTCTTTATTAATTAACTATAATAGAAAATGTAATAGGGCAGCTACTTCTAAAAACTGGCATGTACTTTCCAGTAAAGACGATATTTACAATCACAAGTTTTTGCACTATATACGAGGACAATAATTTGCTAAATTAACAAATGAACTGGCACCTCCTATTATTTAAATTTACTCTATGAAAAGATACATACCTGAAAAGTCTAGCATGTAGCTAAATTTCGCAGTAGTAAAAGAAACAGAACCATGTGGGTTTGTTCGGAAGCTCCTTTCAATATCTTCACTGCCAACAAAGCAATGATTGTTTGAATCAGTCTTCAAAATAAATGAAAAAACACATTTAGACAAGTTCAGCAAGAGGCAGTTTGATGTATGAAATCCATCATAGGTTAATATAACTTCATATGTATTTACCTGAAACATGTGCCATTTACCACACTCAGCCAAATAAAACCAGCCCCACTGGGTATCAGAAGTATCCATATCTTCAACTGGACTTTCCATCTTTGGAAAAAAATCTTCTGGTGGTCTTTGAAGCATTTCCTGAAACATTCACAGAAAGTTTTGATACTATTTGCAAAAATGCATTATTTGAGAAATTCATAAAAAAGCAAGATCAGGTGAATTTGCAATACTCAAAAAAAAAAAAAACCCCAAAACCCACCCAAAACCCAAACAAACCCTGGCAGGTAGAGGGCAGATTTTGTTTTCTCTTTTTCTCAAATTGAAAAAGTCTCCATTTGCTACTTATCCAGTATTAACCTTTAAGTTACTTTTTCAAAGCTCTCTTGAATGTCTGTAAACACGCCAGTAACGGCAAGAGCTACACATTAGATCAAAGAGAGGTGATAAATTTCATACTGATGGTGATATGAGCAAGGCCATTCTTCCATACAACAGGCTCTGAGTTAGATACCGCTCAGGAATGAGGTGCTGGGGTTACATCTTGATGAAAACATCATCAAGTCGATGAAAGTGATGAAAACTCACCAAAAGTGAGTACCTAGTAGAACAAATTAGACTGGGTATCAGAAGTTGATAGAAAAAAAAAATTAAAAACTACAACAAAGAATATAATTATTTAACTGTTCAAGTTAAATAGCGCATTGTTCCTCAACACTGCACGAAGGTTTGTTTCCCCCCAGTGCACCCACTTCAAAATGATACAGTAAAATTACTGGTACTCTGTACCTGTAATTTTAGAGAAGATTCACACCAAAAGCCAGAGTGGCTTCCACACAAGCAATGACTACCATAGCTAGGGTTCAGCAGGATGGAAGAAAAAGGAGTGAGGAAAGGACATAGCAGAGGTCTACAGAATCGTGACAAAACTGAATAATGAATCACATTGTCTTCCAACATAAGAAGGAGAAATGTATCAAAGGCTGCACATGACAAGTTCAAAACAAGTGAACGAGAGAGAAACGTATCAAAGGCTGCACATGACAAGTTCAAAACAAGTGAACGAGAAACTTCTTCATAGAACAGATGGCAATCTGTGGAATTCCTATTCATGGCATGCTGTGGATGCTGCAAGTTTATGGAAGTTCAAAAAGCAGCTAGACAAGTTCAAGACTACCAAGAGCTATGTCAGAATACCTTCAGGAGAACAATCCCTGCCAGATTTCAGCTCCTTCTTTATTCATCAACAAAATTGTGAAAACTCTGGAAGTACTTGACTCTACTTGCATATACCTCCTAACACATCCACCCCGTCTGCCACCCCTGCCTCCCACAAGCAAAAATTCTAAGTAGACTGGGAGGAATCTTTCAGAGGAAGAAGCTTTCTCTACTCCTAGAAAAGATCAGCAATTCATCCACTGTAACTTCTTAACGAACACTGGCACTCTTTCCAACTATTTCCCCAACTTCACTTTCGCTTCCAGGAAGTGGAGTAACACTCTTCAGCCAAGTTCATCAAACAATATCCAATAAATCAATATCCTGGTTGCTTCAGTTGTTTCCTGGACACTTCAACACAGAAAAAAGGTAGAGACCAGAAGAATGCAAATACTGGAAACCAGAAGTAGGCACCAGCTGAGCCAGTGCTACTGGGGCAGGAGTTGACAGCAGGAGACACTTCTTTAGCACTATCCTTCCTCCTTATTTTTCCCAAGCTAGCCCTCTGTAGTTGGCTGAAAAACAATGCCAGGAACCTCTCTGTGGTAATAGCTTGAGACTGATTCATCAAAAGCTCCAACGGGCTCCAAAAATCTAGCTGCTTAGAAAACAGGGAAATTAAAAGTGGACCTCCACAACGCCTCTCAACTGCAGAATCCGAAGGCAAACCTACTTGAGTACAAATGGAAGCCTACAAGTCCACACACACAGATAGCTGCCTCAAGGTCAAGCAGAATCACACTAAAGGTACCTCAGCTGCATGGAAAAATATTTTGAAAGAGGTAAGAAAACTGTTCTGTATTTCAGAGGGCATCTGCCAACATCTATTCTTCACAGCAACACAAAGTCACAGAGCCTACATTTGTTTGGTGTTAAAGCACAACTGCCCATTATTGATGACAATATTTCACCTTCAACTTGATGCTTCCTCTCAGGTGGGTATTTGGCTATGTTCTCTCCTACAGAGAGAAGGCAGAGGTAGTCTACACTTTTTAAAAGCTCAGAGGAAAGCAATTCAGTAACTTTTTTGGTAACATTTAGTTTCCTCACATTTAGGCTTTTTTGGTAACATTTAGTTTCCTCACATTCCTACTAAAACCACCAAACCTCAGCTCCATCCCAACATTAGTTCAGGGCGTTGAATCTGATCAATAAAATCAGTAAAGCCTTTTGAACAAGTTACAAACAGAGAAGGCGTGTTCATCTGTGCCCTGTCAACACACTTACACTCTTCTGAGAGCAACACAGTCTCAAGAATAAACCATTTACTAAGGAGACAGTTATTCCCATCGATTTCAAAAATGTCACATTCAGTCAACGTGTATTACTCTAGTGATAAAGTCTAGGGTAAGCAGGAAGATTCCAGGATACTTGGAAGTATGGAGGAATGACCCGAAGTCACAGACATGTAAAGTCATAAAAAAGAAGACAGCTGTTCTCAAAGGAGACACAAATCCAAAATGCTTGAAGGAAATCGCTCAAATTACTGATCGCTGGTCAATACTGAATCACGACCACAGCATTTATAAGAAATATGCAGGCAGCTTTTTTATCCGAAAGTGAGATGAAAAATTTCCGTGGGTTTTTCTGGATGTCAGGATGGCAACTATCAAAGATGCAGCAATGAGAATCTTATTAGCAATTTTATTGTTGTTGCTAACAGACGGTGTCTCAGCTCGCATTATTAGTTCTGTTCCTGCCATTCCAGGAGTTACCAGAACAGCTCAAATTAAACACAATTAACTCCTGACAGCAAAAATGTCCCCCTAAAGAGAAAGAATGCTCTTTGTACATTCTACTGTGACTGAATGGCTTTACTACTACTGGTAAGGCATTGCCTCATTTTTCCAGAAGTACTTTTAAACTTGCATGATAAATCACTTTATAGTGTGTAGTACCACAGAATGGTTTGGGTTGGAAGGGATCTTAAAAGTTTATCAACTAATTCATCCCCCCCGCCTTGCCCTGGGCAGGGAGACACCTCCCACCAGAGCAGGTTGCTCCAAGCCTTGAACCCCTCCAGAGATGGGGCAGCTCTGGGCAGCCTATCCCAGAGCCTCACCACCCTCATGGCAAAAACTACAGAAGCATCCTGATAGGCTACTCTATCTGTTTGGGTGGTTTTTTGGGTTTGTTTGGGTTTTTTTTCCCTGTCTGCCTCCATTTGGTGAGTTGTGCTTTATGGCCTATGACTCTTTTGCCTACCAAAATCAACTTTGCCTAGCCCCCCACTGGGCTGAGGGGCTCTCTGGCTCTTCCTGAGAGAGGAAGGAGACCTGGCAGAGGCAGAAGCCCAGGGCTGGGGAAGGGAAAGGAGGAGACCAGCAGCATTGGCACTGGTACTGGATCACAAGGGAAAGTAACCTGGACAGGATGGAGAGCTGGGCGAGGAAGAACCTCATAAGGTTCAACAGGGAAAAGTGTAGGGTCCTGCACCTGGGGAAGAAGAATGTCACGCACCAATACAGGTTAGGCATGGACCTGCTGGAGACAAGCTCTGAAGAAAAGGATCTGGGGGTCCTGGTGGACAACAAAATGACAATGAGCAAGCAGTGTGCTCTTGTGGCCAGGAGGGCCAATGGGATCCTGGGCTGCGTAGGGAAGAGTGTGGCCAGCAGGTCGAGGGAGGTCATTCTCCCCCTCTGCTCTGCACTGGTGAGGCCACAACTGGAATACTGCGTCCAGCTCTGGGCTCCCCAGTTCAGAGAGACAGGGAGCTGCTGGAGAGAGTCCAGTGTAGGGCTACAAAGATGATTCAAGGATTGGAGCATCTCCCTGATGAGGAAAGGCTGAGAGAGCTGGGGCTCTTTAGCCTGGAGAAGAGAAGGCTGAGGGGAGACCTTATTAATGCTGACGAGGATCTCAAGGGTGGGTTGAAGGAGGAGGGAGCCAGACTCCTTTCAGTGGTTCCCAGTGACAGGACGAGGGGCAACGGGCACAAGCTGGAACATGGGAAGTTCCACTCAATTCTGAGGAAGAACTTCTTTGGGGTGAGGGTGCCAGAGCCCTGGAACAGGCTGCCCAGAGAGAGTATGGAGTCCCCTTCTCTGGAGATCTTCAAGCCCCACCTGGATGCCGTCCTGAGTAACATGTTCTAACATGCTCTGGGCAACCCTGCCTCAGCAGGGGAGTTGGACTAGATGATCTCTATGGTCCCTTCCAACTCTAAAGATTCAGTGAGATTCAGTAACAGCCCCCTCCGCAGCGGTACCACCGCTCACCCCCTTTGTGCCGCCCGGGAGCACCGCCGCGGTTACCCCCGTTACCGACACACAACGGCCCCCCTCACCCTCCAGAGCCGATCCTGTCAGAGCTCACGCTCCACCTCAGCGCAGCACCGCCACCCCTCCGCCTGGGCCGCAGGCCTCACCCGCAGCCGGCGGCCTACGGGCCCCCCGCCCTCCTTCCCCACCCTGGGGCGGAGCGGGAGGGGCAGCGGCCTGCGGGGCCGGGCTGAGGGGGAAGAAGGACGGAAGGAGCAGCCGCTCGCCGCCTCCCTCCCGCACTCACCGCATCGGCGGCGGCCGCCGCCGCCCCCCCAGGGCTCGCTCCCCACATGCCGCCCGCCGCTAGCACTGAGAAGCCTGACTGACTTCTCTCCTGTTGCTCTTATAAAAAGAGAGCAACTATTAAGTCTTGACAGTTGCCGCCATTGGTTAACTGTCATAGTAAGTGCATCTAAATAGATGGAGTTGTAGTCCCTAATTCCATTGTAACTATATTTAATCTTTTTTGTGTGTGCCAGAAGTCATATTTTTCTATTTCTGTGTCCATTGCAGGCAATGGCTAGCTTAAAAGACAAAAAGCTCTCCCCCGCTTTATTTTTATTATCAGGACAGGGTACAGATGTGACGATGATGATGATGATGATGATGATGGTGGCAGCGGTGTTGTGGTGTGGTGGAGGTGTGGTGGAGGTGGTGGAGGTGGTGTGCTGGAGGTGTTGTGGTGTGGTGGTGGTGGAGATGGTGTGCTGGAGGTGTTGTGGTGTGGAGGTGGTGTGCTGGGGGTGTTGTGGTGTGGTGGTGGTGGAGGTGGTGTGCTGAAGGTGTGGTGGTGGTGGAGGTGGTGTGCTGGAGGTGTTGTGGTGTGGTGGTGGAGGTGTTGTGGAGGTGCTGTGGTGGTGTACTGGTGTGGTGGTGGAGGTGTTGTGGAGGTGCTGTGGTGGTGTACTGGTGTGGTGGTGGAGGTGTTGTGGTGGTGCTGTGGTGGTGTACTGGTGTGGTGGTGGAGGTGTTGTGGTGGTGCTGTGGTGGTGTACTGGTGTGGTGGTGGAGGTGTTGTGGTGGTGCTGTGGTGGTGTACTGGTGTGGTGG